ATGAGTAGAATATTTTTTTAACTTAATTAATGATATCTCTCTTTTTTATGTTTTGAAACTTATATGAACGTTTTTTAGTATGAATAATTATAATTTATTTTTAAAATTTTATTTTCATTCACCTAATCATTAATTAACTCTTGAGTCATGTGTGTTGGACTAAAATACCCCTATTTAAATAATTTTTATTTTAAAATTATTTAAATTACTGAAAAATAATTTTTTTATTATTTAAATGTATTTATTTTGTATCGTTTTAGAAAATTAAATATATAAATTTTCCTAAAAAATATTCAAAGACATAATTTATGGACTCAATAAAGAGAAAAATAAAATAAAATAATTTTTAATAATTTGAGATAGTTAAAATAACTTGACGAAACTCGAAAGTTAGAGGTGTCAAGAGTTAGGCTTGACTATAAAATTTTTTATATGTTCAGATATTTTAAACTCAATATGAATTGAGGCTCTATGGGTAATGAAGGGAATCTTAGATTTTAATAAACTTAAGTTTTAAAAAGTTATAGTGTGGTTTAAAAAAGTAGTGTGTGGAATTTACCATTAAAAAATGTGAGTGGGATCTACATTAAAAATTTTAAAAATTTTAATAAGGTGTAAAAAATAATAAAATTTTTATATTTTAAGAGATTATGTAGGATTCATAGTAAAAATTAATGTTATTATATTTCAAATTGTAAGAGGTGAGAAATTTTAAAAAACAATGCTATTGTTTAATATATAGGGTAAATGTGCAAATTTGGCTTTATATTATTTTCTGAGGAGCATATGATAGCCTAAACTATCAGATGGTACAAAATAAATCACGAACTTTTAAAAATGAAACATCCAGTAACTCATCATTAACTTTAGTTGACAGAAGTTATGTGGGCCCACAATGACATGTGGAATGACACAGGCACAACATGTCAGTATGATAAAAGTACAAATTTAGCAATGAATTATTTTTCAAGGAGCAATGGGTAGCCTCTATTGTAAAAAAAAAAGGACTATCCAATACCTTTCCATTAATTTTGACCAAATACTATTTATTTTCATACTTATGAGGCCCACAAAGCATTAATCTCTTTAATCTTCTTGCCTTCGTTCTCAATATCAGCTTCAGAAGAAGAGGTTCAAAGAGTTTTTATCTAAAAACATTCATAAAGATGATTCCAATAAAGTAAAAGCTCAATTTTATTGTGCACAGGAGAAGCTTGATTCTAACTTAATTTAGCAACAAATTATTTCTTTTACTTTGTTAGCATTGTCTTCATAAATGTCTTAAGATAATAACTCTTTGAACCTATTCTTCTCGAGCTAAGATCAAGAACGAAGGCAAGAAAATTGGAGACATTAATACTTTGTAAACTTCATAAATATGAAAATAAATGGTGTTTAGTCAAAATTGAGAGGAACGTATTGGATGATCTATTGTTTATAGTAAAGGCTATCCAGTGCTCATTGAAAAATAGTTTATCTCTAAATTTGCACATTTACCATGCTGATATGTTATGCTCATGTCATGCCACGTGTTATTGTGGGTCTCACATAACATTTATTAGTTGAAGTTAATGGTGGGCTATTGAATGCTCCATTTTTTAAAGTTTGTAATTTATCTGGTAGCCTAAACTATTAGATGGTGTAAAATAAATCACGACTTTTCAAAAATGAAGCATCCAATAGCCCACCATTAACTTAAGCTAACGGACGTTATGTGGAGCCCATAATGACACATGGCATGACACAGGCACGACACGTTAGCATAGTAAAGGTGCAAATTTAGCTATGAACTATTTTCTTAAAAGCGTTAGGTAGCCTTTACTATAAACAGATCATCTAACACTTTCTCCTAAATTTTGACCAAACACCATTTATTTTTATATTTATGAGGCCCATAAAATATTAATCTCTCTAATCTTCTTGCCTTCATTCTCAATATAAGCTTCAGAAGAATAGGTTCAATGAGTTTTTATTTGAAGACATTTACAAGGACGATGCTAATGAAGTAGAAATTTGATTTTACTATGCATGAGAAAAGCTTGATTCTAGCGTAATTTAATCATGAATTATTTATTCTACTTTGTTAGCATCGTCTTCGTGAATATCTTTAAATAAGAACTTTTTAAAACTCTTCTTCTTCTATTGAGATTGAGAACAAAGGCAAGAAGATAGAGAAATTAATACTTTGTAGGCTTCATAAGTATAAAAATAAACGGTGTTCGGTCAAAATTGAGAGAAAGGTGTTGGATGATCCATTTTTTTATAATAGAGGCTATTCAGCGCTCCTCAAAAAATAGTTTGTGGCTAAATTTGCACCTTTACCATGATGACGTGTTGCGCTCGTGTCGTGCCACATGTCATTATAAGCCCCACATAACGTCCGTTAGCTGAAGTTAATGGTGGGCTACTAGATGCTTCGTTTTTGAAAGTTCGTGATTTATTTTACACCATTTGATAGTTTAAGTTACCAGATGCTCCTCAAAAAATAGTTTGTGGTCAAATTTATACCTTTAACCTTTATTTTATACTATTTGATAGTTTAAGTTACCATATACTCCTTGAAAAATAATATATGGCTAAATTTAATACTTTACCCTAATATATATATATATATATATATATATATAGAGTAGCACATTGCAAAATAGAAGCTATTCTTTATAGGTATCATTCCATTAAAATTTAGTCTCATATTTGCTGACTATGGAGATACCTTAAGAGACAAGAAAAAAAAAGAAGTGTTCCTTAAATTTTAACTTACACAGGACAATACATTCTAAAATAAAATAAATCACTTTTTATATTTTAAAATGTAAGAACATAACAAATTTTAAAATAACATATTCTTTAGATTTTAATTTGCACAAATTAATAAATTATAGAGTAAAATACATCGACATCCCCTTTGTTTTGTTAAAATTATAAAGACTTATTCTTTATTTTTAAAACTCACACTTTATTCGCATTTTATATTTATTTTAGCATGAAACACTCATTAAATAATAAATATGAAAAAAATTATGTTCTTTTAAAGATCAGTAACTATTTTATTGAGGGTAAAATTAGGTTAAAAGTGCCTTATATTTTAAAAAAGATAGGGTATGTATTTAATTTTTTAAAAAATACTAAATAAATTAGTTTGTATGACTAATAAATTTAAAGTATAAATAAAAATTTAAAAGAATATATCAAGAATGATATTTTAGTCTAACATATATGGCTTAACTGTCAACTAATAATTGAATAGATGAAAATGAAAACTTAAAAGTAAAAGGCATATTTGTATTTTATAACTCTTGACTGTTGATTTTAAGAGAAATTCATGTACATTTTAAAAATAAAAAAATATTTATAATTAAGTTAAAATAAAGGAAAAAATAATATATTTTACTTTAAGAATATTAAAATAATTTTTTAATAAGTTTAATATGTAATTTGAATTTTGAACTATAGCTCCATGGACGATTTGAATCCTAAAATTTTTAAAAATATATTTTAAATCTTAAATAATTAAAATTGAGGCAATTTCACCCCTAATATTATATTTAAACAAACATCAATCAGTTTTTTAAAATTGAGATCCATTATACAATTTTTATTAAAATTAATTGTCTCTCTCTTACCCACGCATAGCACGGGATGAAAATTTAATTCTCAAATGATTTCTAGTGAAATTCCTTTTACGGTTTCAATGCACAACAAAATAATGTTGTTTTAGAGTGGCTAATAAAATAGTAAATTCTAAAGGAAATTAGTTATTTTTTAGTTCCTATTTCCATATCAACTTTTACTACTTACTTGTTATCCTTTGAAACTTATAAGTAAAAACAAAAAATATCAATTTTCTCATTTGGAATGGGACCTATTTGTAATTTTTTTAATAAGTTAATGCTGTGTTTTATATTGAAATCTAATAAGACTATATTTAGGTTTATAAATAGGATTAGAGTCCTTTTTTATTTTTGAAATATACCCTCATTATCCTAAATTCAGTTTTAGCACACGTTTCCCTTTAAACTTTCAAATGCAGATTATTTTTGCCTTTATCATTAATTAAGGTTGAGTTTGATATTAAATAGTGACATGAACCAAATTGCTTCTTGATACATTGGCAAAAAAAGTCAAACAATTTAATCTACGTTAGCATTTAATGATCAAACTTAACCTCACTCAATGACAAGGGCAAAAAGATTTGATTGTGAGATTTTGGGAGGAAGTATATATCAAAGTTGGGCTTATGACATTGGATGATCATGATGGTAGTGCAAGAATAAAAATGAATTTTAAGCCTTTATTATAAATCTTTTCTTAAATATCACCCTAACAATTTTTATATTTCATCATAAAAAATATAATAAACTTAAAAAGTGAAGATTAAGGAACAATAACAGTTCAGTCTTAAAATGTTGAATTAATGATAATTAGATTTTTGACAAAACAATTTACATGCAAAAGTTTCTCTTATAGTCTAAGAATTATATTTAATATTTAAATACTCTCTTTAATCTTATTTGTAGGGCACATTTTAAAAATGATTTTTGGTCCAAACAAGAAAATCTTATAATAATTAAACTATTTTTTACAATTTTATCCTTTCTTGACTAGTTGAAAGATATTTAATGGAGTTATATTATTATTTAAAATTAAAGGTAAAAATAAAAATACATTTTATTTTTTCACTCTATAAAAAAATAACATTTGTTAAGATATATTAAAAAGTTAAAAATGTCTTATAATAAAGATCGAAATAAATATTTATTTTCAATTAAAACTCCTGAATTTTCACATATCTAGATTGGTATTTTTAAGTTATTTTTAGAATATTTTATGAGATTTAACTGCAATTAATTTAATATTTTAAAACTTAACTATTATTTTCTCAAGATTAGAGACGTAGTGTAGAAAATTTACTGCTTTTCAAAAGTACTCAAATTCCGTCCAACACAAAAAAAAAAAAAGAAAAAAAGCAGAGACATTGTTTTCGTTGAGAGCCCTTCGACATGACAACCGTACATATTGGAAGTATGCATGTATTTCCACCATGAAATGGTTGACCAGAAAATTGATCGTTTGAATGGTTTCTGTTGATTAGAACACCCCCAGGAACGCTATTGATGCAAAACAAGTCAGAGGACGCTGACTTTTACAGCATTTGATTGCGAACCCGACTTAGAAGTTCTTGTAGGAGCATGTCGGTGTTTGCGAAGTTCAGAGCAGAGATGGAAGAAGCCGCCTCTCTGCAATCTTCCACCGTCAAGATGCTAAGGGCCATTTCAGAGCGTGCTCGTGATTCAGGTCAACAGATCATATTTTTATCTATAGAGGGTATCCGGGTGGCCCAGGCCCACAAAGGTTTCCTCTTATGTAATTTCAAAGTACCCAATGGCGTATCAGTAAGAATCTGGGACTAACCCTCATTCGTTCAATCCCTTTGTGTTCTCGGAAAAATTCATGCTTTGCTTTTGTAGGATGAAAATGAGAATTGGCATCCCGGAGCAATCGCTACGTTAATTGACAACATTGGCACCTTGGCCACTTTTTCCCTTGTTCCAGCTTTCAATGTCTCTGTCGATTTCTCTATATCCTTCTTCTCCACCGCTAAGGTTCAGGTAGTGTTTCATTCTTTACCTTTCTCTGTAATGTCTGAATCAACATTTTCTACTGCAATTCGAATGCTTTTGGACAGAAATTTGATTCATCATTTGGGATATTCGTTTAAAATTACTGTAGGGTGCGCTTTGCTTTGTGGGCCAGTAACTTGGAGTTTGTATTTTAATGACAGGAAGAGGTTGAAGTAGAGGCAAAGGTTGTGGGGAAGAAGGAGAGATTAACTTGTGTGGCTGTTCAAGTTAGGAAGAAAGCGAATGGAGAATTGATTGCTTCGGGAAAGCAATGGATGGCAGCTACTAATGTCATTGCAGGCCTTCGAACCAGTAAGCTCTAAAGAACAAGTCCTTGTGTGTCTTGGAGACTTTGATAATTGGAAAAGCTGTAACTGGATAAAGTCTAATTGCAATTTGCAATGCCGCAGAACTGTTTTTCCCCCTTCAATAGACCAACATGGATTGTATGCAAAGATACACGTATATATGTGTAGCCCTTACTCAGGACTTGGAGAAAGGAACATAGGAATTTTAATTGATTTTGTATCACTGCAAAGTGAGCCGTGAGTTTTATCATTTAAATTTAAATAAATGGTTTCTTTGTTTTTCTTCTTGTCAGTCCTCCTTACTCCAGACATACTCCAAGAAGAAGAGATATTATAATTGAATTTCAACCCAGGAAAAAGTCTAAATTTTCGGTTCCATTTACTTTTTCTTCATTCTTCACAGTAAAAACATAAATAAAAGCAACCATCCGTTGTGGTGAACTGAACCTTGTTAATATTAAACATAACAGAGAAAAGGCTGTGCTGGATATAGTGCTTGTAGACCCAAAGTAGTAAAACTATTCTCCTATTGCATTAAATGCTTCAACTGCACAGACATTTTTATTTTTTTTGGGCCAGACATCTTTTCTATGGTTGAAAGAAGATATTCGTTCATTTAGTCTCTTAATAGCCCAGTATCTAGCATATGACCAGTTTTCTCGGATTAATATTACGGGCTTCGTTTTAAATGTTTAGCTGCTCTGCAAATTCAACAGAAATCTGGAAGCCTCGGTTGAAAATTTTTGGCATCCAACAGGAAAAGTAGGCAATTCATGATCTACAACTTGTGCTTATTATATTGGAAAGAAAAACAAATAATACGATTTGTTATTTTAAGCAATAACCTCTGAACCTGTTTGAACTGTGAATACTGATGTCACTCTTTCAAGAATTTATAATGTATCTGTTTTTTTACTAATTTATTGAAAAGTTCTAAACATTGCAAGTCTATCTTCTTATTTTGACCCATGTGTATTTTAATGGCATATTTGAAGCATTATCTGATAGAAAAGTCTACTCAACTATTGATAACATGGAAGGCATTGAGGATCTTATTTGTAGACATCTCTGAGAAACAAAGAGGAACGACTCCTCTCTGCCAAAAAAAAAAAAAAAAGCCTCAAATTATGGCTTAGAGGCCTCTCAAATGGCTCTATGGATCATGAGGTGGAAGCTTTACTTACAAAATTTATCAGGATGGTCAAGGTTACTAATGTTTTCTCCTTTGTGATTTTATCATACACGAGGGATTATCAGTAAAAATCTTTTGATTCACCTCTGGATTTTGGTCAATCATCAATGTTCACAATCACTAATATTTAATCATTTGGATCTTAGGTTCTGTTCAGTTGAATTCTTGCCATGGGTTCTGTTCAGTTGAATTCTTGCCATGTGTTTGCAGTTTGCAGGATGAAAATGGAATCTGTCATGCAGGAGCAATCACTACTTTAGTTGATACCTTTGGAAGCTTGAATGACTACTCCATCACCTCATGTGTTCTGTTGATTTTACAATTTCATACCATTCAATGGAAAGAGTTCAGGTTATAAGCTCTTTCTTTCTTTATTTCTGTTTTTTTAATAATGACCCTTCAATATTATTGTTGTTTTTGAAGAACTTTTTTTCTGCATAGAGTATCTGATATCTTAGGCCTGCCTCACATTGAGCTGAGGGCCTTAGCAGGGCCAATACTAATTTGGAGTCAAGATGGGATCCTTTTAGATTACCACCAACATTACTGCATTGGTTCGAGACCTCTAATTAAGTTAGTACAACTCCTTTATCAATTTAACTCCTTTATCAATTTAACCAAATGTTGAGTAGTATTGAAGAAGCTTTTAGTTATAAAGCATTGATGCTTATAAAAGGAACTATAATATATTTGATATGCATAGTTTCTTGTTCCATATCCCTATCCATCAGGATACCACCTTAAGTCATGAATCTGAATTTCCTTGTGTCAAATAGCTCAATTTCACTTCTCCTTCTCCTTCTCCTTCTTTGAAAACTTTCACTATTAGTAGAAGAACTTAACTAGTAACATGGTGAATTGGCATTCATTTGAGCATGGCTGCATAAAATTTGACTGTAATTTAATAGTAAATGGAGATGTGAGTGGATCATATGGAGGTGCCATTAAGGATGAAGAAGTGATAGGCCCAAAGCTAATGGGCCCTTACAGTAGGCCCAAGTTGAGGCATGTAGAGTGCATGAAGGGTTGTTTGACTTCTATATTTAAGGGGTAAAGGGTGAGTGGGAAGGCAAGAAAAAAGTGAGTATGAAATAATTTGCATTCTAGCATTATTTTGTCTGAATTTAAAGTTTTGAGGATCGCTCTACGTGGGTTTGACTTTGCTCTCTCTTGGTTTGCACATCAACGTGCTTCTGGCGTTCAATGGACAACCAAAGTTACACGAAAATTCCTCCGAACCAACCTAAAGATGACTCTGATCCATCGAATTTGAAGAAAAAAAAGAAGCTAATGGAAGCTCCTGAAGAACCTATCATGGACTCCCTTATGGACATGGAAATGGTTGGGGAAGGTGAAACCTTGATCAATGATGCCACACCCCAAGAATAATCTCAACCCAGCTCCAGTGAAACTAAAAGGAAACAAGAACAACCTCCAATCTCTAAGAACATGTATTCGCCCATCATCAACACGGTTCAAAAATGCCTTTCATCTTGGAAAGGTAAGTATCTCTCCCTAACTAGTAGATTTGTTCTGATTAAAGCTGTTATTACTACCATTCCTAGTTAGTAGGGATTTCTTTCGGAATCAAGGTAGAAGTGGCAGGAAAATGCATTTGATTGTGTGGGAGAGCTTGAAAGGTGGCAAGGAAGAAGGTGGCCTTAGGTTTAAGGATCTTCATGCCTTTATTATGAAGCATTGTTGGGGTTTGTAGACTAAACCTGATGCTTTATGGGTGAGAGTTCTGAAATCTAAATTTAAATGTGGAAATGATATCAACACTTGTTGGATCCCCCTACTTCAGTGAAGCACTTTGTTCATGATAATGGAGAATGGAATATAAGAGAGTGGCTTAAATTCCTCCCTCCTTGGGAGATCTCCAAGTATCATTCAAGAAGATCATTTTTTGTGGAGAAAGTCCTTTGATAGTAACTTCAATGGTAAATCTGCTTACTTTTCTCTTCAGAGTCCATTTGGTCATACAAGGGATTCGATCTGGAAAAAACTATGGCGATGACCTTCTCCAAGTGTATCAAATAGTTCTTTTGGCATGTTCTCCATGAGAGACTTCAAATTCACTCCAAGCCAAGAGAGGTGTAACATCCCAAAATTTAAATAGACGCTAAATTAATAAATAAAGTGATTTAATTAATTAAGGTGATTAAAAGTTAATATTAGGGTTCATATGACCAATTAGGTCTATTAGGCCCTTTAGTGGTCTTAAAATGAGCCTTATTAGGGTTTTGGGCCGAGTGAAGCTGTCTGTTTTGGGCCATTCGCTGTGACAGATGTTATGTAATTTCAAAACCCAAATGTGCTGTTAAAGTAGTCAAATTTTGGGTGAGATTAAGAGAAAGTTCGAGAGAGTTACACTTGAGTTTTGCTAGAGTTTGCTTGGAGGAGTTTGTGGAGGTGTTTTGAGGCATTCATGACTTTAGGTGAGCTTCTAAACATAATATCCTTTCTTCTTCTTGCAATTATTGCACATTTTGGGGTAGCTTAGGTTTAGGCTTGAAAGTATATGAGTTTAAGCTAATCCTATGAACTTAATGGAGTCTATGGATATTATTTAATTCTTCTAATCTTAGGTTGTGGTTGTTGATAGCATTAAATATTATTAAAGAGGGTTTAGAGCTAACCCTAACCTTAAATAATCAAGCTATAGAGGGTAGTTAATATTGATTATTCAGCTTAATGGGAGTTAAATAAATTAATGAAAATTTGTTTTGAGATTAGTCATGCTTAATTATGCCTAATGGTGGATGTAGATCTTAATCATGATTAAGAGTTAGTTAATGATGATTAGTCATTAATGTTGCTTTAGATTCTTGGTTGTAGATTGATTGTGCTTGAAGCTTATGTTTAGAGAAGCTTTCTCAAAAAATTCAAATTTGACTCTTGGGGTGGTAACTCAAAACTGGAGATAACTAAGAATTTAATTATTGCATATAATTATGTCTGTAATTGTGTTTAATTGCTATGTAATTTATGACATAACATGAAAAGCATGGATTTGCGATGAGACTGTGCACTTGAAATTGTTAAATGAAAAGTATGTCTAGTTGTAATATTTGTTTGATAGTTATGATGATGCAGATGTTATGTGATCATAAAAAAATGAGTGAGATTTTAGATTGGGTATGAATCAGTGATGATGTTTATACAATGGATTATATGCCTGGACTGACTATTTTGCTAAGATGATTATGGTATCTTGAAAGTGATTATGTAAATGCATGAATTGTGATAGTATGCAAGTTTTGTGGTTATGTACATGCTGGCTATTAGAATATGCATGAGTGGACTGCATATGTTGAGTTGAACTTGTATGAGCATGATGGGTGGGAGTCATTCTAGAGTAGTGGAAGGCTATGTTAGTAAAATACACCTGGTGTTCCACCTATTGAATTTGCGCACAGTGGTTGACATAATTCATTACTAATATATTTAGTATTGTCAATAATCTACGGATGTAACATGGGACGGGCATAATACTTAGTATCATCTTGGACTGGATGGTATGAGTCTGACACTTATGACACCTTAAATTTAAGTAAGGGAAACTTGTGATCCAAGAGTGAGTATGTGAGTTTTTGATTAGTCAACCCCTTAATTGGATAGTGGAGCTAGTTCAGTCACATGCACTAGATCTATATGAGTTAATAGCCTATGAGTTTTGTTAAATGATATAAGAAGGGATATAAGGTGATTGCATTGATTATAAGTATTGAAATTTGAATATATGTGGTTGTGCAACAAATTGAGTTATATGTTATGAAATGCCTTTATGATTATGACTATCACCCTTTAATATACTTTGATTATATTCTTGATTATTGAGTTTTGTTTATCGTACTCTTATTACTTAATGTTTTTTTAGGAGATGATAGACCTAAAGGAAAAGGGGAGGCAATGATGTTGAAGAACTAGAGCTTCACTAGCAGAGTCTTTAGTTTCAAATTATGTGTAATTGGAACTATGTTTTGCCAACACTAGGACTATTGCATACATTTTTATATATGTGTGTTGAATTATAAATCATTTACATGTAAGCCCTAATTGCTCATATTGGCATTTAGTATTCCAAGATTCTCATTTGGTATTAGATTGAGTTGGAAATGGTACCATTAGTTAGGTTTTTTAATTATGTGCGTGTAGATACTTGGATCACCTTAAACAAAAGTTTGAGTGATTAATTATGTGTTTGGAGTTTAAATTCCACATGCTATTTACTATATTGAGACTAGAGGTTTCGCCACAATGGATAGGTGTTTAATTGCTATAAATGAGTCAATTCTAGTTGGCTGTGGCGAAAAGTTGCTTAGTCATGATAGATTACCTTGGTGCATGTGGTTACGGTGAACAAGTATGCTAGCCATGGCAGATTGATCTTTGTGGCACAAGCCGCAACAAAAGAGTATGTTAATTGCGGCCTGCAACGGATTGATCTCTATGGCACAAGTTGTGGCGGATGAACTTCTAGCTGTAGTAGATGTGCACATGCTTGCCTTGAATGATTTTTTTATCGTTGTGTGATTGTTTTCTTAATGCTATTATGCTTTCTATGTTTTCGTGCAACTTTTACACATTGGTGTTTTAAATATAGGTGATCAAAGGTATAGTTTGGTTTAATATTGGTCAAAATTTGAACCAAATTAAATCAATCGGTTTGCATAAAAAATGACAATTGATTAATTTTTTATTTAAGTCAATTTGGTTTGGTTTTTAAGCGGTTTGGTTCGATTTAATTCATACATGGATTAAGTCTCAATATTTTTTAACATACAAAATCATATATTAGGGCTAGCATAATTTTTTGCCCTCTTTGTTTCTGTTCATATTCTAGCTTTAAGTCACATTATTCTCGACTTTATCATTCATGAATGAAAATGAACATCATATCTAAAATAAAAGTATTCAAGTTTTATTATCAATAAACAACAGGACATATACATTCGCAAGTAACACAAATTAAATTTCATTATAAATTAATTTAATGTCTATAATAAAAGGTAACTTGTATTTTGGGTTTGGGTAGGATTTTAGTTGAAATTAAAATTTAAAAAAACACTAATTAATAGTTTCGGTATTAATAATGAAAATAAATTTAAAAATAATAAAAAGGTAAGATTAAGGTTTTAAAGAAAAAAGCTAACATTTGAACCAAATCATTCACTTTTTAAATTTATTAAACCAGATCTAGCCTTCTTAATGATCGGTTTTATTCAGTTTTAATTGAATTGGTTTGGTGTGATTCATTTTGTTTGATTTTACTCACCCTTAGTTTTAAAGATAGACCTTATATAACTTTTAAATGTTTTTGGATCTCACTTTCAAAGTTGACCTTTATCATTGTAGTTATACTTGAAGGCCATGGCTGATCCTTATCTTTAAGCATTATCAGTTAAATGAGTTTAATTTGGGTTAATGACGAAGGTTATTACAAGATGTGTCTTCATGAGCACAAATTGTCCTTTTGAGGGTGGTAGTAAAGAAAAGGTTCTTCATATTCTTAGAAATTGTGAGATTGCTAAACATGTGTGGCTTTTCTTCATTAACCCAATATATATGCACTCTTTTATCTCTTGTAATTTGCAGGATTGGTTAAAGTCTAATTTTCTCAACAAATTTGATGGAGCATCTGGTGATGGACCCAAGTTTTCAGCACTACCTGTTGGCTTTTATGGAAAAATAGATGCCGAGAAGCTTTAGAAGGAAAAAGATATGCAGCCAATGAAATCTATCGTTGGGTCCCTTTTATCATGTCACTGAAGGAGTGGAGAAAGGAAAATGCTACCATAAAATCTTTCGCTGCACTGAATCTTCAGAAACCAAGTGGACTCCACCGACAGCACACCGCCTCAGAATTGATGTGGATGGCTGAGGATATGCCTCTTTGTGGTGGCGTCATGGGAGACTTGAGATCTCACAAGTTCGAGAGTTCCTATTCTCCAATTGCAACGCTGCAAGTTCTTAGTCTAAAGATGCTCATCATCATCCCACGGATACTCACCGAGTGTGGAAGGACCCTCCTCTTAATTGTTTGGCCTTCTATCAGGCCGAGTTCATTGTGTAATTTGCTGTGACTTCTACTTCATCAGATTTTGGACCCTTTTAAGATTAAAAAAATAAGTAATTTTTATGTGGTTTAGAAATTTTATATAAAAAAATTATTTTATACGGATTTTATAAAAAGTAGAAATTATTTTATATTTGATTATAATAAAAAAAGTGATTATTAGTTAGTTATTTTTTAAAATTTTATAATATCTTCCTTAATTTTTGTTTTATAAAAATAATTTATTATTATATTATTTTAAAATTTTATGATATATTCATGTATTTCACATCTATAAAATACTATCTCTTATTTATCGCATTAAATTATTTTTAAAAGCTACTTAAAGTAGCTTTTTAAAATAATCAGAATTTTAAAAAAAATTTGATTATTTTTTAAAATTTAAACAAACATTATAAAAACTCATAAAATAATTTTTTTAAAAAAAAGTAAGTGATTTTTTTATGAAATAAATTAAAACAAATGGGCTTTTGTCTAACTTTTGATTTCCACAAAAAAAAAAGAAAGAAATAATTTGCATTCTTATGATCTAAAGCTATAATCAGTATGAGAAGCATCTCATTGGATCAACTATTCAATTATGTTAATTGATAATCTATACTAATAATAAATATATCATCATGAAGTTAACAAAATCTGTGCTAGCAAAGTTAAATTAATAGTAGTAATGGTTTCTATAAAAGATTTTAATAGTTTCACTGTTATAGAAAAGAAATAACTTTTGTTAGAAGGACATTTCAGCTACAATATCTTAACTTTTGAATCAATAATTTTATAATAGAGATCACGTACATTCAAAAATATATTAAGATTTTTGTTATAAAAGATGGTCTTTGAATAAATTTTTGAGAAAATCTTAAAAGCAATGGGGCCATGGCCCCTAATTAATTACCCTTCCTTCCCTACTACATATCAGATTTTCAACATTTGTCCACAATTTATTGGTCTCTCGGTGAAAATATTGATCACGTCAAACGAATATTATAATTCTAATTAATTTAAAAAGTTGAGCTTTAATATGAAGCAATTTTTTTGGGCAATGATTAAGTAAACATATGCACGCATTTTTATTTTAATTTATAATTAACCAAATCAATATATGAATATTATATATATAATAAAATTCATAAAAATTATAAATTTCATAAATCATACTCCTTCCATTGAAAAAAATAATTCTTCTTTTTAAGATTAAATATTAAAAAATATAAAGTAATTTTAATTTTTCAATGTTTAATTAATGAGTTTTTTTAAAATATTCTTAATAAATAAATCACTCAACCTTTCATATTTAAAAGAGACATTTTATTAAATAAAAGAAAATATAAAAATATTATATCAATTTAAGATATAATTCAATTAAAAATATTTTATACTCCTATGCTCCTATTTATAGGGCAAAGAGAGAAGAAAAAATTTGATCATATTTATAAAACACATATCAATCCTCAATGCTCCTCTTTATATTTTTACTCTTATTAAATATTTTAAATAAAAATATCAATAACAAGATTTAAAAATATTTAGTAGAGGTGAAGATGAAAACTTGTTAAATTTTAAGATAAAGTTAATAAAATTTAAGATTTTTTTTATAGAACCAGATAGAGTATTTTTTAAGATGAATAAAAAAAAGGGGAAATAAACATTTTTCCTTCATTTTTTTAAATGACAGAGAGAAATGTGATCAGAGGGAGATAAGAATGATAATATTTCGGTTCTTGTTAATCGATTTAGGCCTTTTCAAGTAAGATTAGGCTTATGGAGTTAATATACTTTTTGTACAGTTTCTCCTCATTATAATATCATCCCCCCCCCCAAAAGCTCTTGCACGAAACCCAAGAGAGATAAAGACAAATAGAAAATTGCACAGCACAAAGCACTTCATCATAGGCACAGCATTATTGGAACTCTGTATTAGGCTTAGCTATTAACTTAAATTATATTCATACCCATAACCCTTTGTTTTGTTTTTTTAGCTATTAACTTAAATTATATACATACCCATAACCCTTTGTTTTGTTTTTTTTTCTTTTTATTAGGAAAAAAATTCAGGTGAATTAGATCTTGAAATTTACCAAGGCCAATGCATTGCCTCTAAACTCAAAGAACAATTATAAAAATATTTATAAATTATCAATCCATAGGGTTCTCAATTTAATATCATGACTTATAAGCTAAATACTTACCAGTTTTATCAATTTGTTAGACTCTTTTGTTCTCAAGCTCAGACTTCATCGTTCTTCTTTGTCCTTTGTAACACCTGTCATCGCTGTTGCAATCTTCCTATTACTATTATTAAATATAAAACTGTACTGCTTTCATAAGAAATATATTCATTATTCAGCATTAATTAATATTTTTTAATATTCATTTTGTTCGTATTCTCTAGCTTAACAAAGAGGCTAACCAATTACACTCTTGGAATCGAAGTTTTAAATAGCACTACAAAATAGATTAGTTCTATATGTACTTAATTTATTCAGCCAGTTTGTCTTTTCGTTCGAGATTCGATGTTTATTAGATTACTTAATTCACTTTTATTTGTGTGTATGTGTGTATTGGAAACAAATATCATTTTTATCTATATATAATCTAAAAATAAATAAATAAAGTCAATTGTCTAAGAGAAATTAAACTTGCACACACGGGAATCACTTGAGCAGTATGTATAAGGATTTAAATTTGATAATTGTATTTAATATAAGCATTGAGTGCCTGTACCATCTTAAACATTAAAATCTAAATTAATAATTTAGATAAATTTACTTATTTATTAATTTTAATTAAAATATAAATTCATAACTATGATTTAAACTTCAATAATTCAAATAATATAAACACTTAATATTTATATTAAGTACTCACAGAATATAAATCCGTACATATAAATACCACATAAAAGTTTCTTTATATACATTATGTAATTGTAAAGTGACTCATCGACTACTCATAGCGCACTTTGAAGTCATTATAAACTATGATAATTAATTATAAAAGATGAACAGTGATTCCCCCCCCCCCTCCATTAACAAACAGAAACTACGATCACAATCATACCTTTTAACTTTTTCTTTTATCTGGTATATAATAATAATAATAATAATAATAATAATAATAATAAGGAATTAGTACTAAACCAACTTTCCACTAGAGTTACGTCATCCTGATGTATTCATCCTTGCCCCTTGGGCAAATCAACCCGTGTTATTTTACCTAACAGACTAATCACTCCAAACTAAATAACGTTAATTTAACACAATTTGAATCTAAAGGTACTCACCCGTCATCATCCCATTGGCTTCGCGTTTCAAAGTGGCAAGACCGCTTGAAAGCAAACCCCAATCCTCTTTTGTTCGAATTACTTGAGAAACACAAAAGAATGAAAAATGCAAAGAATTAAATTTGACTATCCATTAATGTAAGAATATCATCGGTGGCTAATCAATAAGTATCGTTTAGTTGCCACTGCCGCCACCATCACCACTATTATTTTACATAAAGTACTTGGTATTATGGTTCAATATTAATTTAGATTGAGTGGAATTTAGCCAATGCTAATACATTTTTAAAACTTGAAGCATCTAATAGTTTATATATTTATTGAAGTGTGAAATCACTTATCAAAATCCTATTAAATGAAAGAGGATAAATGAACAAGAGCAGTAAAAGATTACTATATTTCAATTCAAAATTTTAAAACTTAATAGTTATTATATGTTAATTATCAAGTTTAATTTTATTCAATATGACATTTTTCACATTACCTTAAGTGTATTCATATTTATACAATTTAACCGCTATTAAAATCTAACACATGTTTTTAAAAAGAAAAAGGAAAAAAAAAAACTCCATGCAATTACTCTTAAAAAAAAAGACTAAATGTGATGCAATATATAGCGTGAGAGTGACGAAAGAGGTACTAGTGTCATAGTGTGATCTATTTTTTCTTTTTTCTTTTTTCTTTTTTGTCATACAGAAGAAGTGGTCCAAAAGGTGACCCGAGAGATGGGGTCCATGGAGTCCCATTCGGGTCAGGCACATGTCTGTCATGACTGGCTGACAACTTGTTTTGTTTTTATATATTATTATTAACTTATATTTTCATTTTACCATCTGCTTAATAATTAGAAATACATGTGTGTGTGTGTGTGTGTGAGAATTCCTATAATCATGATGACTAGCGTGCGACTAGAAACTTTCTTTTTACAAAAGAACAGCAATATAATCCAAATAATGAATGATGATGCCGAAATCAAACTCAGACTTCTGCAAAAAGCCAGGAAATTAAATGATTTTAGTTGTTTTCAAGTGTTTGTGTTCTTGTCATAGTACTTTTATAACCAAGGATGGTCCTAATATATATACACGTACAAATAAATTACCTCAGGATAAAATCCAAATCTTTAACGTCATTTTGCTGGTACTGATTTGCAAGCACATGTACGAATTTGACTCAGTTCTTATCGATCATGAGTGTCATAGTTCCATTCAAATCACATACGAATGAAAATAAAAAGAAAAAACATGACTTTAATTTTTACACTTTTCACGTGATTTATTATTAATTCTTACACTCTATTTTTAATATTTTAAATTTTTATAATTTTTTTTGACTGTACTTTAAATCTTTACATTTTTAAAGGAATATTACTGTAGCATTAACAATATTAATTATGCTGATGTGGACAATAACACATCTAATTATAAGGTGATGTGTCAGTTAGTAGTTAATGTATTTTTTAAAAAAAAAAAGAAAGAAAAAGCTTATGTGTACTCCCTCCGATTCTTATTACAAGATATTTTTAACTTTTTCACACATATTAAAAACTTAATTTTTTTCATATCATAAAAAAATGATATGTGCTTTTATTTTTATCTTTAATTTTAAATAATAATATAACTATATTAAATATCTTCATGTTAATCAAGAAAGGGTAAAATTAAAAAAAAATAATTTAATTATTACAAAGTGTCTTGTATTTTAAATTAAAAATTTCTTGTAAAATATGTCATGTAAATAGGACTTGGGGACTATTTTTTTTTAATAATCAGAAAGTGAAAAAATTTTGTCTTAACTTCAAACTTGAATAATATTATATATATATATATATATATATATATTAAAAACAATAAATAATCCCCAACTCAACCCCAAACCTGACTTTTGAGTACAAAATTACAAGAAAGTCATCCTGAAGTATAGAATTACAGCAAATTTAAAAATAAATACGTGATATTTTTTTCATAGCCTTAAAACTTACTTTTGTATAGAAAATAATTATTAAAAAATACATATCATCTTTTCTTTCTTTTTTCCCGAGCAAAAAATACACATTAGCTATTAACTGACACGTCACCATATAATTAACAGTATTATTGTCTATATCAGCATAATTAATATCATTAATGCCACGTTAGCACCCTTTGAAAGTGTAGGGATCTAAAGTGCTATAAGGACCTAGAATATCAAAAATAAATTGTATAGATGAATAACAAATTGCGTGCAAAGTGTAGAGATTAAAAGTTATGATTTTCCAAATAAAAATATTCCAAGTTTAGAAGCCACACACAAAAATATATATACCTATCTATATAATAAGTTAATGTACAAGCTACTTTAAGATACATGGGATAGCTTAAATTTAATTGGTGATCATAGTTGCGTTTAAGGGAATATTTGTACTTTATATTTAGATCGGTTTTTGAAAGTTGATAGAGTATTAAATTAAGAAGGAATATTATTTGCTTTTTTCCCCCGCCGTTAGATAATTTAATCAAACTATTCTTTCTATAAGTTATACTTATTGGTAAAGTGGGCAGCTGAAGTTCAATCTCTTCTACATGAACAAGAAAATGAAAGATGTTTAGAGACTTAACATCAATTATATTCACAAAGATTTGCCTTGCAAAAGAATAATTAATTATATCTAGACGAGAAATAATACAATGGGAGCAACGGGATAATCCTATAGCAGAAAGGGTTATAACTGCTGCTCTTATGCAAGAAGTTTTGAGTTTGAATTTGTGTAAATATAGAGAACGTTTTTGAAAAGATTACTTCCAATTAAATCCAATAATATTTGAATATGATTCAATCAAATAGTCATATCTAAGAAGAAATGATACATTCATTAACAAGTATGATTTAACCCTAATGCATGTTTATTAATAAATCGTGCCATGAAAGACATATTCTTCCCATGTTCCCCAAGGATTATCTCGTTTTCATTGTGCACATAAAGAAACTTCGTTTGTCATGAAAAAATGGGTGAATAAATTAAATAAACGAGGAAGTTAAACTAGAGTACTAATCAACTGAAACATTGTATTGTACTCATATATATTTTTTATAGAATTCCGATAAATAAAAAGGAAAAGAATAAAAAGGGGTGATTATTATAGAAAAACGAAATAAACTTAAATAAAGTTATATTTCTTGCGTTACTTTTCCTTCAATACTCCATCAAAATTTCGTAATGTGATCTCTTTTGTGTCTTATTCTCAAGTAGGACCCTTAATTATAATTAATTAAAAGAAATAAAAATGACCAGCTTCATCAAAATAAATAAGCACACACACACATGGTGAAGGGGGACTCAGAACCTCTTCATTATTTATGGTTAAAATAGATTCACATAATTCATTGATGTCAATAGTTATGATTAGGGAAGTGGAGAAAAAATGATACACCTCGAATCCTATTTATAAGTCACTTTCAATATATTTCACCAGTATTAAGAAAATTTTAAAATTTATTAAGTTCTTAACTTTGCTCCTATTAAATACACACACTTCAATAACATATTTCCTCTCTCTACATTCAATGGAGGGTAAAAAAAATTATGATAAAAATTTAATGACGTAATTTATAAATAGGATAAACAAAAGTCTTCTCTCTCTTCCCTATAAATAAAACCAGAAGAAGTAATAAAGAAATGAAGAGGTTCCTTATCCAAAAAAAAAATTTAGATAGACCAAATGCATCATGTCATTTATGATTTTTTTCAATAAAAATATGATATTCAGATGTTATCAAATATAAATTGATTTTATATTAATGATAGTAGAGAAAGAAAAAAAAAAAAACTAAACATGCATTCTATTATAATAATAAAATCAATTAACATAATGTCACATGAGATTTTATTTAGATGATTTAGAACATTCTAATTAAACAGACTATAAATAACATAGTTCATCCAGTCTACCTCTCCTTATCCATTGAAAAGCAGAAAAAATGTTAAGTAATATTCCGGAAATCTTGCTCATTACTAAATATAACTCGATATTACAAGTAATTATCCTGAATTCCTGATCATTAGATATTAGAATTAGAGAAAGAGTACATGGATTAAAACCTATATATATATATATATATAGCTGCTAGGAATAATGCACATACAGCATCATGAGCAATTAATCAGTAATTATTTTATTAATAATAATTAGTGGAAATGATATGAAATTATTATAGATTGACTGCTCATGATGTTATATAGATAGATAGCGTCAAAATTAAAAACCGCTGCCATAAGCAGGTGCCCAGTAGTCAGCCCCATTTTCACTTCCAACATGTTGAGTGCAAGACACTGGCACCAAGCACAGCCCTCTGCTCCTCAAGTTCTTTCCCTTTTCTTCTCCTTCCTGCAAAATAATACATTGATTAAGATCCAAATATATATGTATACTCAAATCATGATATATATATGCATGCGTACATACAAACATATGTGTGAATTATCTGCTACTGAAGTGTCCATTTCTAATAAGAAAGAATAATACATGAGTATGTGACCTATATTATATACAGGGGAGGACCCAGGATTTAATTATAAGGGAAGCCAAGATTTAAAAACATATATATGCTACAAATTTTTATAAATCTTAGAAGGCTAGAAGCATATAGCATTTACATAATAGTATGAAAATTTTAAACACTACTTGAGAATGTCATGGCTCTGGTTGGTCCTCCTTCCTTCCACCCCTTGTCTATATACATTTTTTTTTATTCATTTCGTTTTTATTTTGATTGTGGACAAGTCATAAAGTTTTCGATTATAATTTTAGGGGATCCAGATCTACAATTATTAATCATTATTAACTTCATCGCTAGTAAAGAATGGAGGTTTCTATACCCACGTTCTAAGGTGATGCAATGATTTAGGATGCTATGCTACTCCACACACACACAAGTTCAAATAAGAACAATAAAGGATGGTCGTGGGGGTCAAATGAAGAAGAATACTGAACACACATAATGAATGGGACAGCTTTTGTGCTAAAGGAAAATAAAAATAATAATAATTATTCCCACCTCCTTCGAAGCTCCTTTTCTTTTGAGGCCATTGTCATTCAACAGCTACATTGGAATAAAGAGGCAGAAAAAAAGTATTATTATTAAATTGATAATTAAATTATAAAGTACTGCTCAACCCGTTTCTGACTTCTAATCAGCGAGATAAGCATAAGCTTGCCTCCCATTATACTTTTCACTAAAAGCTCAGAAGCCTTGATTATTATTTCTAATGCATTCTTCTCTTTTGCTAATTAAATTACTAATAAATTTGTTGCAATAATTGCAAAAGGAGCCTCCCCATTTGATTCTAATGAGTTGATGGATCCAATAAAGCTTACCTGACCCGGGTCCTCCGGGAACACAGAATTCCTTTCTCCATGCACCTAACCATATAAAAATTACATAAATAAAATTACAAAAAAAATTCCTTACATTTTATTCAATGATACAAATCTTTGGTATACTTTAAGAAAATTTTTAACAGTTTTAACCAAAAGTATCCCTATTCCCAGGAGAATAATATTTTTTTAGATATTAACGAATATTTCTGAAAACATGTTAACCTTGCATTTTAAAAGAACTAAACACATTTTTTAAAAAAAAAATAAATGAGTTAGATCACGAAGATTTATTAGGCTAAGGCATGTCTCTAAATTCGAAAAACACTTAGAAAATAACTTAAAAATCATCCACTAGAAGACTTAATTAGTCTGCATATCGACAACTATCAACTAAAATTGAACTCATAATGTTAAAAGTTATGAGTTAAACACTTACTAACTCAACCAACATTTATAAGAGTTACATACATTGTAATGAAACAAAATCGTGTGTGTAGATACATATATAATTTTAATAATCTATATATTCATAATCAGGGCAACATACATGCATTCGTACGAAAGAATCTGCAGCATGAACATGTGTGCAAGAGATAAAAGAGAGGGATTGTGTTTATGCTTTGGGAAATGTGAAAGAATGAATGGGTACTTTGGCCACTTACAGAGCGCTGATTCCTAATGCTTTTGGATGCATTCGACATGTAAGGCAAGCTTAGTGCCTGAAGTCATTAAAACCACCACACATATATAAAGATCAATATAAAACCATATATATATATATATATAACTTCCATTAACTGCAGAATGTTTTTCTCTGTGTGTGTGTGTGTGTGTAATAATCATATAACGAAGGTGAAAGAAACATCACCTCAATTTGACCTTGGAGGAATCTAATATATCCAATGGCTTCTAACAAGACAGAAGCTGTGTCAGTCTGCAAAAGGGAGAAACACAAACACACACACCCCACACCACCACCACAATAACCTGTGTCACCTTTTCTTTTTTTCTTTAAGGTTAAAATATAAAGGTAAACAAGATGGATACACAGAGAAGAAACTGTTCACGGGGACTTGTAATTGAAACAAAATACAAAATCTAGTCATGGTTTGTAGTTTTTGTATTATGTGTTGTGTTCGTCATTCACACACACACACATATAATAATCAATAGAGCGGAATGGTTTGGTAAATTAAATTACCTTTCCGAAGGGGGAAACTAGCTGATGAAGGGCTGTTATTCTATCTCCTAGTTTCTCCTTTCTCACCTGAAGATTGCATATATGGAAAAATTAGGACATCATCAAAATTTAATTTCTCTGTCAAAACTATCATGTAGCAGAAAGAATATTTCAGTCTCTTGAAAAGACAGACAACTAAGCAAGACGACACACAACACAACACCCACATACAAACTCTCACAAACAGGCGCGCGCGCGCGCGCACCAAGTAAAGCATGCTGGCCTGGAGATCGATGGAGATCGAGAATGGTATGTGTATGACATGATGATTGTGTAAATAGAAATATATATATATATATATATAAAGAGACAACAATTTTCCTTTAATAATAATTTCCTCCCTCTTTTTGTCTTTTGTAATTAATTCTTCTTTCTCTCCACTATCGTTTATCACATATCGCATTGAGAGGATTCAGATCCGAAAGTAGTGGAATCTGTGGGTCACCTTGAGAGGAGGCAGGCTTGGAGATGCCTGAACCTTAGCCTTCTTATTACAAACTCCAGAAGGGATTGATGAGCTATTATTACTCTACAACAGAAGCGAAAGAGACACGTGATTATTATAATTTGGATTATATATATACTTAACTTGAGAGCTGATTAGAAAATGAAAGCTTGGTCAAAAATTATTACCTCAGATGGGCTATGTCGATGCAGTTGATTGTTGTTATGAAGTGGCTTGTTATAAGTGAAATCCAAAATATTAGTGTCATTACTTGAGCTAGTGATGGCACGAGACTTGGGGGAAGAATTAGAAGGAATAAATTGAGGAACCATATTGTTTAACCAATAAGACGATGAGCCATGAGATCCTGAAGCCTGCTGATGATGAAACTCCTCAGTTCCATGGCTGTACAAGTTACCACTTTGTTGGGAAACTTCTTGCTTGATTACATCAATAACAGGAGGAGGAGCTTCTCTTGAAGATGGATTATTATTATTCAGAATATTCTGGTGATCTTCCCAAATTTCCATCTTCTTGTTCTGAAAAAGATTCGACCCCATTCTCTCTTTTTCTCCAGGCAGCCCAGCACTGTTAATTGTGAACACAACCAGCAAAATATAAATACCAGAGAGGAAAAAATAAAATGAAGTACGGAAAGAACTTCTTGTAATTATTAATAAATGAAGGCTCAAATTCGTATATATAGTTCTTCGATCAAATCCAAACTCAATGAAATAATCTATCAAATCGTTTTTGAAAATATATCTGTTTGTGTGTGTGTGTAAGTCTGATTAATTAATTAGCTCTAACTGATATATGTATATATCTGAACTCCAAAGGATCCCTTCAACCTGCTGAACCTGGAGTATGTAACAAGTGAAAATACATGTGTACTGGGGGGGAGGGAGGGAGAGAGTTACAAAAGCATCTGGCTCCATGACTGAGGAGTGTCTTGGGTTTCAGTGAAGAGATTCATGGGAATTGAGGAAGATCCAAGCACATACTGAGGAGGGATCAAAGTTGGTGGATGCATGCTCCACCAGTTAGGGTTTCCGGCCATGATCATTTGATGAGAGGGAGTCTTCTTCTTCTTCTTCTTCTTCTTCTTCTTTGGTGGCCAAGCTTCAAACAATCATCATCATGCTAGCTAGCTATATTAGCTATATTGAGAGCTTCAAAAGAAACCTTAATAATGATATAAATTTCTATCTAATCTATCTATATATCTATCTATCACTCTCTCCTCCTTCTTTTTCTTCCCTTTCCCAATTACTTTCTCTCTTTTCTTTCAACTTTGTGCTATTTCCTTGTATGTGCAACCAAACAAGGCTTTGGCAAAAGCTTTGAGATCAGTTTGTGTCTCTGCTTTCCTACCAGCTGATATGAGGAGAAGCTTGAAAAGTGTTTGGGGGGAGAGATGAGGATGGACAACTTTGCATATCTTGTTGCTTTCTCTTTCTCTTTCCCCTTGCCTTTTAATTCATTTATTCAGAATTCCTTTTCTCTCATCTATTCCTGCTTTTTTGCTTTATTATAAAGTGGCTCACAAAAGCTGGAGGCTAGTGTTATGAGACCTATAAATTAATGCCTTATTTCCTTAATTTGAGGTTATACCTTGGGATTGTTTTTTGGCCCTAGGGTTGGGGGTATACAGAAGTGTAGTAGGGCATATTTGTGTTTAGATCTCAGTGCCATCTGATACACACACACACACACACTATATATGCTTTCTTTTATTCTCTGCAGCAATAATTCACTTGAACAAACAAATTTTCAGAATCTGAGTGTGCCCTCATTAAATATAAATACACCAGAGCAGACAATGGTATAGGAATCTCCCATGAAGGACTGCTCACTTCACTATATTTATAAAAAAATTTATTGAAAACGAGTGTTGTTTCGATTTAATTATAATGAAGTACTCATTTGAAATATAGCCTTCTTTAGGCAAAAATGTTATTGAAGTAAAGATCCATACTTGCTTGGTTATATAGATATATATATATATATATATTTTTTTTTTTTCCTTTAGTGTAAAACACACATTTTCCTTTAAGAAGATATTCAAATTATAATTTTTCTTTCTTTCAGACAGTTCAATTTTTTAATTTAAATAAAAAATGAACTAGATTAATTTTAGGCAGTAAAAGACGAGTTACAACCCCACTAATTTTGACCAAAATATCTATTTTTTATTTAATTATATAATGTAAAAATATCAAATACATGTGATGAGACCTAAATTTAAAATAAGCTAAAGTAATAGTTTTCAACATAAAGTAATAACATGGAAACAATTTTTAAAAATATTACTATAATAGTAACAATTAACCTTTAGGGTGTTTAATTTGTCATATTTAAATCTAATAGTTGTATATAATTTCATTATTCTCTCTCTGACACACACATCCAAATTGACAATTTTATTTTAGTTATTAAAGGATTGCGTCATGATGATAATTTAATACTCAATAATCTGAAGGAACCCGGTTGTTAAAACTCCACAAGTCTCTTAGTTGTCAAAAGATAGTGTTGGACAATCATTTTAAGTATACATCGTGGAAGGATATGCAACTGAAATGGAATTATATTTTTTTATGTTAAGAAAAATACAAAGGTGCCTTCTTGCATAAGAGATGCGGTCTCATTTAATTTAAAGGAAAAAGAAAAAAAGGAAAATAAAAGTCACTCTTTCAAGTTTAGACTTGTTTGATTCTGGGTTTTTGTTTTTTTTTTATGTTCTTAAAACAATTCTGTAGAGTAATTATGTAGAACAAGTTTTGAAAACAAAAAATGAAAAAATATGTTTGAATCATTATTCTAAAAAACATATCTAAAATGATAGAAAGAATTATTTATTTTATTAACATAATTGTCCGTAGTCAAAACATGATATTTTTTTCTTTTATTTAATTTTACAGAACAATAAATAACAAAACATCGTAAAGATATTATAGTTTTTTAAATTTTCCAAAACAATTTTTATTTTTAGAACAGGTAATAGAAAACACATTTTTAAATAAGTTTTTTTATTTTTAAAAAATAAAAAACTATTCTAAAAACAGATAATCAAACAAGTCCTAATTTCCCAACAATATTGAAATGAGAATCAAAATAATTGTCCCTATCAATTTGCTGCTAAAGTCACGTGTAGTTCATAATTATACATGCAGCAGCCAAAAATTAAAAATTGCGTGTCCAGACAGTGTGTGTATGTGTTTGTGTGTGAGATCTTTAAATTGTTCTGTTTGGGTGCGTGTGAAGATCCAAATACGAGGAAACAAAGCAGGAGATACTTGAAACAAAAAGAAAACTACATTTCTCAAAAAGCCAAGGAGAGTAAGTATGAGATACGATCCATCATCACATGGTATATATATACTTCTTGTTTTCTATTTCATTCATATTCGGTAATAGATCCATCCATATTTCTCTATTAATTAACAACAATTAAAAGAAATCAATCAATACACACACACACACAGAGTACATGTATCAGATCAAGAAAGTCCCTTATGAATAGTGCAGCTCATGATACGAATGCTTACTTTTTTCCCCATCTATTTGTGCTCAAAACCTCATACCTCCAAATTGTTAACCCTAAAGAGGGGGATGAAAGATAGACACATACAAATTATCTGTGCATGATAGTTAACTAGTCATTTAAATTCAATTATCTGTGCATATTGTAACTCTTTGCTTGGTGAAATCAATCCCATGTATAATAAAAAGATGAGAAAAATAAATCAAATTCTTGATGTCTTCTCACTTAGTTTCAAGGCAATAAATAGTGTGTGTATTTGTGTGTACTCCCTCCCACCTTATATATAATTTATTTTTAATTATTTCGTCAAAATAAAAAATGTAGTTAAGTTATTGATATTTGTTAAAAAGTGTTTTTTTTTCAATTTATCCTCATTAAATAATGCATCATCTTTTGAAAAACATTATTTTTCTCTCGGATGTATAACTTTTGCTCTACTTATTAAAAATTGTGAAAAGAGTAAAATTAAAAGAAAATTATTAATGATTTATCTTTTTATACAGAGGATGGAGAAGTGGAAAAAATGAAGGTGAAAGTCTAGAAATTATATGTTTGGCGCCTGAGAATCAAATTCTAGAAAGAAGCCATTTCCACTAAAATTGATGGAATTTGATTCCATGTGACCCTATGTGAAACTCGATTCCGTCAAACTTAATTAAGAAATGAACAAGAGTGGAAAACATATTCCATTTTAATTTCATATACATACCAAATATTTTAAAATTTATTTTCACTTCACTTTTTCTTTCTCTTTCCCTTCTTTTTCATTTCACATATTATCAAAAAAATTTTTGTTTTACCAAACAAGGCAAAATTATAAGACTGGAGGGAGAGTATTACAAAATCTCCTAACAAACTTGAAGTTTTAAGCTAATGAATATTTTGATTAACTCTATCTAATGTAGAGCTATCAATGAGGGCTAATCTAACCCTAAAGGGCTGATCCTTGAAGAGTCAGAGCCTAAACGGGCTAGCTCTAATAAGCCCAAATCATGCTTTAGGGTTTTCTTTTACAAGATCCAGTTCTAGCCCTCAGGGCCTCAGCCCTTTTTTTTTTTTTTTTTTTTTACTTTTTTCACTTTAAAATTCTACAAAATATATTTACAATCTTAAAAAAAGTTATTATACATAAAATTAAGTTAAGAAAATAAATTTAAATCAATTTACATCATAATAAATAAAAAAAATTTAAACATTCAAGTCTAATATCAAATAGTAATATTAAAATTAATACTAATAAAAATTAGACTTGACTAATATTATTGGCTAAATCTTAATGAATGAATGAAGGAGGGACGAATGAGTTTAATATATTCATTTCTTTTAATTATATATTTAATCTTCTATTATTTTTATATTATAATTTTTTTAAAAAAATAAAAAGGCTTAAAAGGGTCGACCCTTTTATTTTCAGGGCTCTTTTAAGCTCGAATTATCATTTTTTCTTTTAAAGTAGAGGCCCCACCCTAGTTATTTTTGGGCTTAAAAGGGTCGGTTCGAAGGGCTCTACCGTAATTGATAGCTCTAGTCTAACTTGGTTGAGATAACTCTAAAATAACTTTTAAAACTAATCAATGATAGTTAGGTTCAGACAAAAAAATTTTATAAAATCAATTGAAAATAAAAATTTAAATTGTTATAAATTCATGATTTTCAATAACAAAATAGGAATTTATATTTCAAGTATAATTCTCAATTTGCAACCGAGATTTTTATTTTTTACATAACTATATCAATCAATATTTGCAAATTATTTTAAAATAAATCAAAAACTTAATTTGTAAAACGTGTATTGGAGACGAAATCTTACCCCACATGTCATTACAAAAAAAAAAAAGGTATATTAGAGGCATTTTTTTTTTAAGTGTTATTTATAAAACGCCACTGGAGACGGGGCGTTTGTGTGAGATACGCCACCTATGGGATCGTTTTAGGGGGCCATTTTACAAAAATGTCCACATAGAGGGCACTTTTGAAAACCCTCGCTATCATACTGTATTTTTAGAAAGCAAAACGCCTCACAAGTGGCCTTTCGCTTTTTTTTTTTTTTTTTTTTTTGGTTCCCTGCATTCCAGCGTCATTAATAAGCACTACAAAAGCAATGGTATTACCTATTTTGGCAGCGTTTTTGAAAAACACTGGGAGCACCTTTAGGGCATTTGAAAACACCCTTAAAGCCAAAAAACAATTCCTTAAGCAATTTCTTTTTGTAGTGGGTAAACCATTAGCTGGTTTTTTTAAAAAAAAATTAAATGATGGACATACTTTATAGTAGTTTGATTTTTCGTTAAAAGAACTCATTGCATCTAAATCTGAATATGATCCTTGAAGATATATACCATCAAAAAAGTAGTAATTATTTAAATTAATAATCTAGACTCTAAAAATTATACTCCTTTAGTTCAAAATATAAATATTTTTTCTCAGCTAATATTAATTTAAAATATAAGCAACCTAGTACATATAAAAAAATATCTTTCATAGATTCTTGTATAAAATTATTTTTAATTTATTATGAAATGCATTGATAATGGGAATTAAAAGTAAAAAAATTTATATTTTTATAAAAATGAGGATTTTATTATTTTGCAGATTTTTTTTTAAATCTACTTATATTTTGGAGTGAGGGAGTACATGAATGACTGTGTATGAAATTATTATAGAGTACGGAAGTTTTTCAAGAGAACAACCTTTTTTTCCCCTGCTATGGGTCAAGTTCTTTAAGACCCTTTTTGTCATCTTTTTTATCATGGACAACGTTTCTAGCATCACATTAAGAATCAATGAAAAGTAAATGAGATAGGCAAACGTATGCTAGAAATAAAGTGGTATCGTTTCAAATTATTATCTCATCTTTTTCATAATTTCTGAGTTGGTGGGCATAGATACAAATAAATAAACAAACATTGTAATCAGAAGATCAGAGGCTATTCATAAGAAACATGTCATGAGAAGGATTTGGTTTGACTAATGGTCTTCCACTTAAGAATGAAGAATAAGCAGAGAATTTAGGTGTCACCAATGAAAGCCCTTGAAGCTTACTAATTTCCATCTCCCTTTTTATCCGTTTCCAGCTTTTGGTTTAATCATGCTGCAACATAACACCAACATTATGCAGAAAATAAAGAAGACGTCTTTTGACTGAGTTTCACATCATTATTATTTCTCTCTTGCTTTTTTCCTTTATATTTTATCTGTTCTCCTTTTATCATGAACTCTTTCTTTCTTCCTTTTTATCATGAACTATTTCGCTTAAATAATGTGATTTTAAATTTGTCACTTAAACAACAACAACAAACCTTCATCTTATTAGGTGTAGTCAACTATATAGATTGTACTTTATCAAAATTTGTCACTTAAACATGAGAGAAATTTAAAATGTCTAAACTTATTATAGAAAGTATTGAGTTTTAAAATATTTAAAATGATAAATAAAGTTTGGAAAATATTATTTTAAGTTAAGGTAATGAACGGACTATTTTTGCATCATCATGGCGATTAGGTTTGGAAAAAAAAAAACAGATGTTTTTGCTGCAAAAAATATATGGTAGAGAAAATGAAATAGAATAAAATAAGATTTTCATATTTGCATTTAGTAATAACTATCATTAAGTATTCATAATAAATATAGTAAAAAGAATAATCTCGGTTTTTATAACTGTTTTCCCCAATCCTTCCGTTCAATTTTATTTATAACTAAGATCTTAGGGCCTTTCATGTGTTGGAATGCTTACACATTTAAGTGCAAGTTGAAACTTAGAAAGTTAAAGTTTGGGCTACAGCCCAAGCCCACATAACTGTAGTGACAGTATCTTAAATTTGCAATACAAATGGTCATATCATGGCCACCAATATAGAAAGTTGCCATAAAATTATCCCAAGTTTCTGAGCTTGATCAGTTAATTTATTGTAAATATATACATATCTACACATCTATGAAGAATCTTTGAGTTAAGAAAGGTCGAAGTTATTTCATAATTTACAGGGACAAAAACTTGTTTCATATTTCATAACAAGCACATGTCACAATTTAATTCATAACTTAGACAAAATCACAAAATATATTGGATAAGCCCTTTAGTTCATTAGGGAAGGGACCTTAAGAGACTTCCTATGAGATATTTTAAAACATCACCCAACAAAATTGAAGAATTGTAAACCAAAATAATAATAAACAAGTATGTATATTAAATTAAATTATCAAAATTGTATTTATAAATCAATAAACCGCAATCCTAATAGAAAGGGTTATGGACTTGTGATGATTTAACTACATACGTAAATGCAGAAAATATTCTTGTAAGAATTACCTCTAATTAAATTTAACAATATTCAAATCTAATATAAATAGTTATATAAAAAAAATTGTATTTATAATTCTGTCGATAACAATTTGTTTCCATTTCAAAACAAATAAGCAGTTGATTTCTCCATTCTGTCCCTCGAGAATTTGGCAAATGACTTCTTGTATTCGCTTTCAACTTCTGCAGCCAGACCCTTTTCCCCAAAGGCCTTGAGGCCATTACTCAAAACCTTAGCCACATACTCATCCGCCTCCACCCTGCATCCCCACCCACTCTTCTTCATCATCCCATAAATCCTCACCGTTGATTCCCTCCTTTCGCCCCGATCACTGCCTTTATCAACTCCACCAACCCCTTGTCGTCGCACTCGATCCCGCCCTCCGATTCCTCCATCTCCACGATCAGACGGTCCACATCCTCCTCCATCCCACTCCTCGCCAGCGCCTGCACCACGTCTGCGTACAGGGACAGCTCCGCCTTGTACTCCGATCGGACGGCGGAGAAGGCTCGGAGGGCAAGCGCACACTGGTCCTGCCGGAGGAGCTCCTTGAGAGTGGCCATGAGGTCGGACTTAATCAGCCGCAAGAGGGTCTTGGAGACAGGTCGTCGACGTTGGTGGGGTTAGTTCGATGGAGGCGCTTGAGGGTTTGGACGGCTTGGATTGCTTCGATGCTGAGGGTTCGGCCTTTGACGAGTGGTCCGCGCTGAGACCGCGGGCCACCGCACCGGACCGGAACGTAGGTCGAAGGAGAAGGTGTAATGGCGCTGGAAGGTTTGGGTAGGAGAGAATAGTGGGGTTTAAGGAAAGTGGGGTTTTGGTGTAAAGTTGAAAAGGCCATGGCTGAACTGAAAGAAGCAAGGAAGACGACGAGATAGGGATTGGGCGAAACCGTGGTGTGCAATAAAGCTTATCGGATTGGAGAGTAAGTAACGAAAATAAGATAAAGAGAGGTAAAACGTAAAAGGAACGTCGACAGCAGGATTCGAACCTGCGCAGGCAGAGCCCAACAGATTTCGAGTCTGTCTCCTTAACCACTCGGACATATCGACGTGCTCTAGATCTCTTTTGCATAAACTGATTCAAAACATATAGACCCAAATACGTATTTCCCATTTTTTGTTTTTGGACCTTTCCCCCTTGGTGCAGTCGTAATTGTCTCTCTGACTATAGATATTACAGGAATTATGGCCCAAAAGGAAGACACAGTGGGCTTCAAGACCATCTTTGATGATTGAAAAGCATCGTCATTCTTGTGATATTTGAGTTATTTAATGTTTTTGATTTGGTGGTTCTTTTTGGTGATACCATAATAGATCTGGCCGAAAAAGATGATAACACGTTTGGTAGATAATCAATAATTAGGTATTACTTGACGTTCATTTCTTTTTTAGCATAAACAAATTTGTGTTTACTTGTTTTCTTAGTGTTTCAGTTTTCCTTTCTTTCTTTCTTTTCCCTTCTTTTTTTTCCCCCCTTATTGGCTTGATTAGTCATGGTGAAAGAACTTTAGAACCCCCTCCACACATACCTACACGGATGCCTGATGTGTGCCAATATATAAAATATAAAAGCTTTAACAAGTCAAATTATGTATAATACCACTTATTTTTTAAAAAAATTGTGCGACACATAAAATTCAAATCACATTCCCCAGGAACATTTGGGTACTTTCAAGCTGCTATTTTCTTATGTGCTTTTTGACAGGTGTTTTATGTACATTTTAGGGCTTGTTTGTTTTTTTCGTTTGGAATATATTTTTCCAAAAGCTACTTTGCTTTGCTTACCACAACCTTTGTCTCGCATATTAAACCATAAATATATTTGAGGTTTCAAAAGTCTTATCCAAGCAGATTCTTCGTATATGAGTAAAAGATATTTTCTCATGTTATTGAGTTGAGTATATTGACTGTTGAGATTTTATAATTCAAATACATTATTTTTCCATTACGGAGTTGACGTCCCTGTGTTGATACTTGATAGGATAGAAGAGGTTTCTAATTGTGAAATCTGCCTGGGAAAATAAAGACTGGTTTTTTTTTGGTGGGGGAGCGATTGAGTGTTTTAGTAAAGCAGCAACCGCTTGGAACCAGGATAACGTTGGAATCATACCTGGAAAGAAGAAAGAGAGACTTTGCGAAAGTCGGAAGGGATTGATAAAAAAAGGGAAAAAGAAGAAGAAGTGTTGATGATCATGGTGGGCTTTATAGGTTGGAAAAGAAACTTTGGCGGGACTATCAGAAACTTTGCGCTAAAGAGAAGATGATATGGTTCGAAAAAGTCAAGATGTAAGTGGTTGCAATGGGGGGATCTGAATACTAGATCCTTCCCGGCAGTGACTAAAATTAAAAGGAGGAAAAGTAAGATTGTTGCTCTGCAGATTCAAGACCAAGGTTAGTTGAAGAATATGGCTTATGATTATTTCAAGAACTTGCACTCGAAGGATCCAGATATTCCTCGCTTTATAGATTGGCCTGATGGTTTCCCCATGTTAGATACTAGTGAGTTGATTTTTATTTCAATGAAATGCGCCGGCCATTGACATTAAGAATGCAACTTTTAGTACGGGTGCTCAAAGCTCTGGGCCTTGATAGTCTACAAGTTCATTTTTTTCAATCTCAGTGGGATAATGTTGGCGGGAAGATCTACGAGTTTGTTGAATTTGTTTTTCAAAATCCGAATAAGGTCAAGGAGTTTAAATATACCAAGATTACTATCATCCCTAAGGTGTAACATCCTAATACCTCGAGGGATTTCATACCAATATCTCTTTGCAATGTTAGCCTTAAAATTATCACTAACCTCATTGTCAATGAATTAAAAGGGGCTTTGAATCATTTGATCGAACCCAATCAATGCAATTTCATTGTAGGCTAAAAAATTGTGATAATGTCATTATTGCTCAAGAAATTATTCACTCCGTGAGAATCAAAAAAGGATCCAAAGGTCTAGTTGCTATTAAAGTTGATATAAAAAAAGCTTATGACTATCTTGATTTGAACATTGTTGAAGAGACTTTGATTGCTATTGGATTAAGCCAATGCTCCAAAAGAGTCATAATGGTTTGTGTTTCCTTTGTTTCCATGAGTGTTATGTGGAATGGGGAGGAGACTCATAACTTTAGGGCTTAAAGAGGGAGATCCTTTAAGCTCTTATATTTTTGTCCTATGCATGGAAGGACTGGGGCACTTAATTCAAAGTGAAGTAAGATAGATGCATGAGTTATCTATCTATCAAGATCAGGGCCAGTGGACCTAAGATCTCACACCTCTTCTTTGCCAATGACTTAGTGTTGTTTGCCAGGCTTACAAGACGCAAATGGAAGTGATAAGGGACACTATATGGATAAATTTTGCAAGGCACAAGACACCGCATAAAGTTGGATAAATATAAAAGCCGTCTTTTCTACGAACATCAACTTTCACCATGCTATAGAGCCTTGTGAGGTTTTGGGCATCAATGTGACAACAAATCTGGGTAAGTGTCTTGTAGTCCTACTTAATCATAAAAAGAGTTACAAGCATCATTTATCCCCCTCTTCAAAAAGTGTGGAGTAAGCTGTCCTCTTGGAAAGGTAAGTTTCTATCCTTGGCTGGTAGGTTTGTCTTGATTAAATCCATTCTTCCCGCTGTTCCTAGTTATCTATGCAAACCTCCCTCCTCCCCAAAGGTATTTTAAATTATATTGAGAAACATAGTAGGAATTTCTATTGAAATCAAGATAGGGATGGTAGGAAAATGTATCTTATTGCTTGGGAAACCCTAAAGAACGATGGAAATGATGGTGGGTTTTAAGGATATTTCCAATCAAAATAGGACTTTTATAATGGAGTTAGATTGGGGTTTACGGACCAAGCCTGATGCTCTTTGGTTCAAAGTGTTGAAAGCTAAATATAAATGCAGAGATAATTTGCACCCTTTTGCTATGAAAAAAATGAAGTCATTTGTATTTTAGTCCAACATTGTCTCCATCTAGGATAGATTCCTGTCTATGATGGGCAGGAAAATTCACAATGAAAGAACTATGAAGTTTTGGTGGGACTTATAAACCCCTATTGGAGCTCCCTTAATTCAATATGTTGACAAGACTCAACATCTTTTAAACCGCACGGCTACTATTGATCATTTTATTCAGACAAATGGGGAATAGAATTTTGTTGAGTGATGTCAATTCTTGCCCCTTTAGGTTATGTGGGATTGATAGCCTTAAAGATTGTTTCATCTAGAGAGTTTTCTCTTATGGGAATTTCAACGTCAAGTCTACTTACTTATCCTTGCAAAATCTTGGGATCATCATCTGGAACCTTTTGGGAGGAAATTCTATCCTTGAAAAGATTGAGCACTTCTTTTGACAAGTTTTTTCATGAAAGAATTCCGACTAATTCGGTTGAAGTAAAGAGAGGTCTTTCTTTGAGTGAAAATTACCTTTTTGAGTGTGATAATGAGTAGACAATATTTTGAGAGATTGTTAGGTAGCAAAAATTGTATGGTTTTATGTTACTAACCCATATTACAGCTAATCTTTCTTTTTTTTTAGTTTGTAAGGGTGGCTAATAGCTAATGTGCAGAATAACTTTAGATAGAATACCACAAACAATAAGCCATGGTTGAAGATTTTGTGCATTTTCTATTGGCTATTATGGAAGAATATATGCAGAGGAGCTATGGAGGGGATGAGATACACAGCTGCTGAATTATATTATAGCCCTCTCAATTAGCTATTCGAAGTGGTAGAAAAGGGCAACTCAAGCGCAAGTTGTTTTTCAATGTTGCAGAGCTTGAAGAAAGATGGAAACCTCTAGATCCGTACTTCATATTAGATGTGGACAGGTCAATTAATCAACAGGGCCATACTACATGCAGAGGTGTCATTAGAGATGGAAATGGTGACTGGACGCTAAGTTTTCAACAAAGATTAGGTTTCTTCCCCCTCCCCTCTCCCAACTAGTGCAGAACTCTTTGCTCTTATCTTTGGGTTGAAATTATGTAGGCAGTTTCAGCCAGACAAGATTCAATGTGACATTGACTCATTAGAGGTAATACATTTACTTTAGACAAGAGATGGCTTAACTCACCCACTGAGGGCAGAATTATTATAAACCCAGAAATTGTTACACTTCAATTGGGAGGTGGATGTTGTTTACTCAAGACAGGAAAATAACAAAGTAGCTGATTTTTTGGCCAAGGATTCTTAGCATAGAGTGGATGATTTTTATCTTCTGAAAGAACCTACTTTTGGTTGTTTAACTGATTATTACTGGGCAGACAAATATGGTGTAAATCGCTAGTTTCTTTTCTGTTTTCAGGCCTCGTCTATCACTATGTATGTCAAACAAGAAGAAGAAGATATTTCTAAGATTATGCCATTTGAGTGTCATTTTCTCTGCCTATAGATACTTCAAAGCATTGATTGTAGTTAGACGAATGTTGTCTATATAAATGCTCCCTCCGGTTCTATTCATAAAACAAAGAGATAATAGTTTTTTTTTTTTAGTTTTATTTATAAGTTACATTATAAATTTTTTATCATAATTTTTCTCTTTTAACCTCCATTAAGTATTGATAAAATAAAATATATTATTAAAAGATACATATGTAATAGGATTTAAGTTAAAAACTTATTAAATTTTAGATAAAATTAACAAATTTTAAGGTTTTTTTTTTTTGGTTCCGGTGACATATATTGAAATTAACTTATAAATTAGATTAAAGGAGTAACAATTTAAAAAATTTATATAAATTAAAAGGCACAGTAGCGTATATAAATAATTAAATTTAGTTAGAGTTTTTCATCAACAGGCTAGTTAAAGGCACATTCCGTGCATCAAACCTTTTCTCTTTTTTTAAAAAAAAAAAGTGATGCATAACAAATTAATAATGACCACTCGGAGATTTCGGTTTCATAATCTCGTTAGCTCCAAAAGCTCGCGCATTATTCTTAAAGAAGAAAGAAAATGACACTACACATCAAAATAGATCTAAATCTTTATATGTT